TTGGGGGTGCCGTGGGGATCCCGTAGGCCTGGCAGGCCGGGGTGGGGGGGTGGGTGGGTGTTTGTGAAAAGGGGAAGAGACCCGGGCAGTGGGTTGGTCTGAAGCAAGTCCCCCCTTCCAGCTCCGCCTCTGCCCACAGGTCTCCTCCTCTCACAGGTCCCCCGAATGGCAGCAAGTGAGCAAGCGGGAGCGGCACCGCATGGGGGTCACGGTACGGGAGGACGGGGAATTCTGGTAGGTCCCCCTCTGTGTGTGTGTGGGGGGGGGGATTTGTGCACACAGGCACACACACACGCACACCAGCAAACGAGGGCCCTCTCTCTCGGCGTCCTATAAAAACAAACCTCTTATTTGTTGTTTACTCTGCCTGGTCCTCATGCGTATTATTCAGCCAAACGAGGGAGGTCTGAAGGTCTCGGGAGGGTGGCGCTCTGGGCCTTCTCAAGGGACCCTAAAACCAGAGTGGTGGCGGCGTCAGGGGACACACCCACCCCAGCCAGGGGCTTCCGAGGCAAGCGAGAAGCAGAGGTGGCTGCCGCAGCCTTCCTCCGTAGCGTCTTCCTGGGTGGTCTCCCTTCCAAGGACTGAGCTGGTCCAGCTGCCCCCCCCTCTCAAGGCCGTCTTGCTAGAATAGGTGGCCAGAGTGAAGAGGTCGAAAGGACTGGAAGTGATGGAGGCAAAAGCCTTGTGCCGGGTGGGGAGCAGGCAGCCCTCCGTCAGTCCTCCCCACGCAAGTCTCTTCTGCGCTCTGTGCGTCTGTCAGGATGAGCTTCGGGGACTTCTGCGCCCATTTCACAGACGTGGTCATTTGCCAGCGCATGAACACAGCACGCCTCAGCTGCCGGCGTCGTTGGGCCGAGGGCCTGCAGTTCGGGGAGTGGGATCCTCAGAAGGGGCACGCCGGTGGCTGCCTGAACCACGGGGACTCCTTCCTCCAGAACCCACAGGTGGGGGGCGTGGCTGCGCAGAGAGCCTTCTGCAGGGGCCGCGGATCTGGGCCCTTTCCAAAAGCCCGGTGGACACGTCTTAAGGCAGCAGTGGGACAGGTCCCCCCCCCACTCCCGCCCCGGTCCTCGGTGGGGGGCTCTCTGTGCTCACCTCCCTCCTGGACGGTCCACGGCTACTGGGGGTGGGGGGTGTAGCTGGCGGCTCCAAGCACGTTCAGGACTCCCCTAAAGTCCCCTCCTCCTCCTCCTCCACCTGGGATGCGATGCCGTGGCCTGCTTTTGAGACTCACCTCCCATCTCATTCTGGCTTTTCATATGGGGGTCTCTCTGTGCTTCAAAGGCTTGGAGCGTCCCTCGGGTCTGAGAAGGACCCCGGGGGGGGGGGGGGGACGCGCCCCCGTCGGCTCTGGAGGCCCATCCCTGTGCAGAGGAACTAGTGTGCCACAGGCCTCCCTCTCCTCCCTCTCTCCCCCCCCCCCGCTGCAAGTTTTTCTTTGAGGTGCCCGAGGCGCAGGGGTCCCTGCTGATCTCCCTGCAGCAGAGGGACAGGCGGCAGCTACGCGGATCCCACACCGGGAGGGGGGGGCGCAACCTCCCCATGGGCTTTGAGCTCTTCCGGGTGAGTCAGGACACACACCCCCGTTCTTGGGGGGGGGGTGCTGCCGGGGCTGGCTGTGGGGTGTGTGTGCGCGTCTGCGTGGAGGGGTCTGTGATGGGGGCGGCTCCTGATGTGGGTCGGGTTGGGACTCCTCTGACAATAGCCAACAACTCTGGTGTGATGAACGGCTCCAAGTGCTCGCCCCTGTTGAAGCCCCGCAGCAGCAGCAGGCGAGAGGAGGGTGGAGGCCGTCTTTGCCCTCTTCGGGGGGGGGCACGGGAGAGGCCTCCTAGGGGGAGGGGCCACCCAAGACAGACTCCGGAGAAGGCCTCCAGAGGCCTTGTGGTGGGGTTCCAGTGCACCTGGATGGCTGGGTTGACCAGAGGCAGCCAGACTGTTCCTCAATGCCAAAATGTCACGGTTGGGGTTTGGGAGAGGGCTGGCGGTGCCCCCCTGTGGGTTCCCCAGCCGGTTTCTGCTCCCAGCCCTTCCCTGTTCAGGTTCCTGTCTGCCACGTGCATGGATAAGACCCTTGGGAAACCTTATGGGGTGCACGGAAGCTCTGGGGCTGGTTTGCAGCCAGCATCTTCCATCTGTGACTGTTGGGGGGCCTTGGGAGAAGCCGGGGGAGGGGCGCTGGGAGCTTACGGGCCCCCCCCCCCCCACACTCTGCAGGTGGAGCAGAACCGAAGTTGGCGCTTGCATCGGCTCCCGCCCCGGGTGGCCGGCTCCACCTACAGCGACTCTCGCAGTGTGGTGGTCCGCGTGGATTTGCCCGGCGGGCGCTATGCCCTGCTGCCTTCGACCTTTGCGCCAGGCCAGAAGGGAGCCTTCCTTCTCCGGCTGTACAGCGAGCGCCCGGCCCGGCTGCGGTGAGACTTCGCTCCTCTCCGCTCTGACAGCTAGTGGGCATTAACTGGCCAGAGAAAGCCTCTGCTCTGGGACGTGTTCCTCTGCTGCTGGACACTGACCTGCGTGCAAGCCCCCCCCCCGCCCCGCCCCCCCGCCAGTAGCAGCTGCAGCACCCTGTGGGGCGCGGGAGGGAGAAGGGCCAGGGGGTGCCTCCCCCTCCTCCCACAGCCCGGGAATGAAAAGTCCCGTAGGAGATTTGGGGGGGGGGCGGGAGCCAGCAGACCAAACTCCCCTCCACTCTTCCCGGACTCCCGTCCCAGCAGGGGAAGCTGGCAGACGGGGCGGCAGGGCTGCATCCTGAGGTGTGTCTCGAGAGTCTGCTTTGAACCGCACCCACCTGGCATCTGACCGGCCCCCTCTTCCTTCCCCTCCCCTGCAGAGAAATCAGCCTCAACGAGCCCCCCACCCCCCCTTGCAGTTGCTGCCTTGGTGCCCCCCAACTCATCACTGTGGTCTGGGTCCAGCAGGCCCTGGGGCTGGCGGTCCCTCGCTCCAGCAAGCGTGAGTTTGCACCCTGTGCGGTGGGGGTGGGGGGTGGGGGAGAATGCCCCTGCAAGCCTCAGCCAGCTCCCCCCGCCCCCCCCGTGCATGCAGACGGACCTGGAAGACACCCGTGGAAGACGAGGAGAGCCTGGAGCTCGGCGCTCTCGGAGAGGGCCCAGGGAGACCATGCCAGGGCTGCGTCTCTTCCCTCCCTTCGGCGTCTCCTGTGTTCCCCGGCTGAGCCTACGGGGGGGGCATATCGGGGGCCCCGTGCCTTGTGCCTCACCTCCTGCTCTCTCCAGCCCCAGATGTCTACGTGAGGATCGCCGCGGAGGGCAAGGCAGTGAGATCCCGGGTCCACAAGGCCTCCCCTGCCCCAGACTTTGATTTCAAGGCCGTCTTCTGCCGGCGGTGCCCCCAGAAGCCCATCCACATCGAGGTAAGAGAGGGGGGGGCACACGCCTGGATGTACTCAGCAAGTGTTTGCAGGACAGACCCACTTGGAGAGCGTCTCTGCCTTCTCCGCCTGCAGGCAAACAGGGTGGGCCTTCCTTGGAGAAAGGACCGGCCCCTGAACAACGCGGGTGGGGCTGAGGAGGAGGAGGCAGGTGCCTGCATGGAGGACCTCCCCCCCCCCCACACACACACACTCGTGTGATCGCCTCCTGGCAGCTCCGGGCCCCTCTGTCGGTCTGTCTCTCACGCATGCCAAAACCCCGGGGGCGGGGCGGGGCTTGCAGAGTCGCTGCCGTTTCCACTGCCGGCAGTTCTGCGTCCGGCCACGTGAAACGGGCCCAAGAGCGGTGCCGCTGGAGGCCAGCTGGGGAGAGACCTGCTGGCTCTCAGGGTGCTTCCTCTCCCCTCGCCTCCTTGCTCGGCAGCCCACCCTGCAGCGCTTTCCTGTGTGTGTGTGTCTGTGTCTCCTCTGTCCCCCAGGTCTGGGCCAGGAGGTTCCCGCGCAGCACCCGGCTGGGTCACATCAAGCTGCTGGCAAACACCCCCACAGAGAGCGGCACTGCCCAGCTGCTGTCCCTGGAGGGGCCTCCCCGGGCCTGCCCCACGGGCCGCGTTCTGGTGGAGACCTTTACCAGCGCGGACCTCCTGTCGCTGTGAGCCAACCCTGCCAGAGGCCAGGGTGCTCAGCGGGGCGGCCGCCTCACCTAAAGGAACTCAGCTGGTCCTGGGAAAGGCCTCTGTCGTCCGCCCCCCCCCCCCCAAGACCCAGCAGGGCAGCTGCCCTTTTCTCCCCCTCCCAAGGAAACGCCCAGTGCGCTGCCACCCCCAACCCCCACCAGCCCTGCACGCCACGCTTCTAAAGCCACAGCACTGGCTCTTGTGTAAGAAACACTGGTAGGAGAAACCTTTTCATCTCTTAGCCCCACTTCACTTTAGAAAGGAAGGGGCTACCTCTCGGTCCCATGCAGGACACTGGCAGGTGGCCGAAGGGTCCTGCGGGCCGACTGGATGGGCTTTGGGCCCAGGGCAGAATGCTCTGCTGACCCTTGCCTGGACCGTTCCCGCCTCCCACCTGGAGGCCAAGGGATGGAACGACGTCTGCTCGTGGGGTCTGAACTGACTGTGCCTGAGACTGCAGGAGATGCAGAACAAAGCAACACACAACATACAGCAATCCCTGAATACATATTGCATAGGTATTCATGCTAGAGACACACATAAGCAGCATCACCACTATACAGAAATACAAACATAAGCTCATATCGTTACAGTGTCCTAAACCTCTTTGCCAACAATGTCATTGGGTGCCCCCCCCTGAGTTCTTGTACTGCAGGAGAAGGGGAATAAGCTCCTTCTACCCATTTACCCCCACCCCTGTGCATAATATCAGGAGTCTCGATCGTGTCTCCCCTTCGCTATTTTCCCCCAAGACTACAAAGTCCCACAATATCCAACCTTTCCCCATCAGAAAGGTGCTCCAGCCTCCTAAGATCATTTCCAATTTCAATCTGAGCCAGTTCAGATATCCCCCCCCCCAGTATATATATTTAAAGCTGGAGATGGGGAGGGGCATTCCAATATAAATCGCTTTACACTTATCCATGTTGAACTTCATTGGTCCCATTGTTGCTCCGTCCCCCAATTCAGAGAGATCCTCCAGTAGCTCTTCACAGTCAACTTCGGTTTTCACCGTCCTGAACAATTTGGTCTCACCTGCAAACTTGGCTACTGCACTGCTCCACCCGAATTCCAAATAATGTATGAACAAATTAAACAGCAGACCCCGTTGCTTACTTCCCTTCAAGAACTGCTTCTTTCTCTTCTCTGCTTCCTGTTGTTTAACCAACTTTTAGTTCCCATGACTGCTAAGCTCACTCAGGAGTCTTGTCAAAAGCCTTTTGGAAGTCCACGTATGTGATGATGCCTCCTGGATCACCCTTATCCACTCACTTGATAAACTTCTCAAGTAACTCCAAGGGGTCAAATAACAGACCAAAGAAATTACAGAAGTAAACTTACCAGAATCACTCCAGATTTTCTCCTCTTAGAAAAATGGCCTAAAAATAAATATTGAAACAAAAATAGAGAATTGATATCAAACGTAATAGCTATTGCACACACATAGCTTCTAAGTGGATAGAAACACACATCCTGTCTACATCACGATGGTATAGCTGAATGTGGGATCCTTTTATTATGCAAAAAATGTCTTTTACTTTATCGGACTTATTGCCGGCAATTTATAGCAAGAAGATTCTTGCAGTTAGGGCGCCCTGCTATAAGCTATATGTTACAAAAAGGGATCATTCCAAGCAAACCCCTTTATCACGACATGATATATATTTAGTTTGTTAAAAGTTTACAAATAAATAGTCAATACTGGAAGAAGAATGTCATGTTCTGTTGTTGTGTCTGCGCTGAAATGTTGAGAAGTGAAAAAACCTGCTAATAAAAAGTAACGCCCAGGGAGGGCCGCGTTGAGCTTCCCTCAGCAGATCTTGTTCCTCCGTGTGCTTAATAATCGTCTCTTTACTAACAGCTTCTGCTAAATTCCCTCGAATTTGGCCTGTAATTTCCTGGGCCCCCTCTGGACCCATCTTTAAAAACTGGGGTGACATTTTCTATTTTCCAGTTGTCCAGCACAGAGGCCAGAGTTTTAACGGTTTCACAGTAGGGTTCTTGGGAGCCTGCTGGACCTGCAGCATGACTAGTTTTCGGTTTGCCTCGCAGTCCCAGTTCTTCATCTCTTTTGTCCCCTCCATTTGCCTCAGACACCCTTACCGAAAGCAGCCTGCTCTGGCGTAGGGTTAGGGTGCCCCACATTTTCCACAGTGGAAAGAGCGGTGAAGAATTCATTCCACTTTCCCCATCTTCACTGGACAGCCCTTTTGTTCCTTGGTCACCCAAAGGCCCCACCACCTTCCTGGCTGATTTCCTACTTCTGACGTGACGCATTTGAGCACAGAGTCATGCGGGGTAGATTCCTGTGGGGAAATGCCTTGCCCCTCCTGAAGAATCACGCGAGACAACTCTCTTGAGGGTAGAGAAATCAGTCTGCCTCTCAAGGCAGCAGCAGTTTATTTTATCCCCATTCTGCTTCCCCCCTCCCCTCCATCCGTGTGCTGGGGTTGAGAGTTCACATAGCTGGGGTTCAGAGTTCACATTCAGAAAACCAGAGGAGAACAATAACTTTCGGGGGATTTGTCTTAAAGGTGCTTGCATTGGTATAATGATTAACAAGCTAGCTCCACAGGCACTATGGATGGTCAGAGGTCATCGGACTTAGAGCTGTGTCTTATTGATCAGAGTTACTGATCAATATCCAGATATTTACAGAGTCTGGGATATAGGCTGAAGACTAGGACAGGTGTGCCTAATTCGCTAATCTGGTGCCCACATTCCACACTTTTCTTGTGTTTAAAGCAGATATTGTTCTTCAGAATCTTCTGATTCCTCCTCAAAGGGATCAGAATGAATGTTATAGAGAGAGAGCACTAATGGCCGTGGAGTAGCTGCAGAATAGGTAGTTCGTCTGTTGGGGTTGCAGGACAAGCACCAAGATTGAAATATACAGTATATGAAACACATGACAAGGAAACATAAAACAATGATTACAAGATATTGAATACTTTTTTCAAGCCAACCCCCCAGGTAGACATGATCACAGGGCATTCCATGGCATCTGGTGGGGGCTGGAACAGTTGTGGTTTGTGGTTCACACTGGCGAAAGTTC